GGATTTTAATCCCACTTTTCTTTTAATCCAGAATCCTACAGTCATCCCCACTCAGATTTTGTGGGTAGAACTTAGTCCCATGGTCCTGCCTCACTGCGAGGAAAGCTGGGCTGGGAAACGTAGTTTCTGGGTGAGCTGTCACGTGGCCAGGAAGAAGGGGCGGATGGCATGGCAGGACAGCTGGACACTTGGCATTGGGTACTTCTGGCACCAGAGTCCACTGTGGTTTGCACTAGACGGACTATGGGAGGAGCACGGTCTGCATGAGCAGGTCAGGTGTCTGCGATCTCATGTTTTTCAAAGGGTAAGATCTTGACCCATGATTGAGCCATGAAATCGGTTCAATGGGTTGTGACCAGTCACTTTTTTCTTAAATGGAAAAATATGGAAAGGAGCAGAGTACAATAAAAAAGTTAAAGTATATTTATTACATCAGTAACTTGCATGTTATAAAGGTAAACTAGTTTATGAATATTTTTATCTGTGTCCTGGTTATGATATAAAATGCATTACTTACTTTAGGTCACAGTTTCAAAAAGTCTTTTCCCATTTCCTTTCTTTCTGGATTAATATTCTTTCTAATCTTCACTGGGTCTTCCAAGTACTTCTTCACTGAGTGTTCAAACTCTTCGGTCCACCTCAGGTTCATGGGAAAGTAAAAGACAGCTTGCCGGGTCAGTAAAGAAGTGCTTAGAAGTTAGAGAGATAGTGGGTGATGTCTAGAGAGGAAATCGGTGGGTTTGTTTCCTAGTCTTTTTTTTTTGAAGTTTTTATTTTTCAATTATAGTTGACGTACAATATATTAGTTTCAGGTATACCAATGTAATTAGACATTTCTATAAATTACAAAGTGATCACCCCAATAAATCTAGTACCCATCTGATACCATACATAGTTATTGGAATATCATTGCCTATATTTCCTGTGCTGTACTTTACATCCTCATGACTGTTCTGTTACTACCAATTTGTACTGAGTCCCTTCACCTTTTCACCTAGTCCCCTAACCCCCCGCCAACCCCCACCCCCATCTGGCAACTATCAAGATGTCCTCGGTATTTTAAGTGTGTCTCTGTTCTACTTGTTCATTCGTTCGTTTATTTAATATATTCTACATATAAGTAAAATCATCTGGCATTTGTCTTCTCTGTCTGACTTAGCTCGGTCAGCACAACACCCTCTAGGCCCGTCTAGATCCATCCATACTGTCACGGATGGCAAGATCGCATTCCCTTCTGTGGCTGAGAGCTCGTTCTGTTGTATACGTGCGCCGCTTCTCTTTCATTCCTCTGCTGATGGACACTTAGGCTGCTTCCGTATCTTGGCTATTGCAGATAATGCTGCAGTGAACGTATGGATGCATGTGTCTTTTCTATCTATTTAGCGTTTTGGGTTCCTTCAGATAAGTACCCAGAAGTGGAATTGTCGGTTCGGTCCTTCTTTTTGTCTCTTGTTATAGATTTGGTTTTAAAGTCTGTTCAGTCTGGTATAAGTATTGCTACCCCAGATTTTGTTTGTTTGCTTGTTTCCATTTCTGTGAAATCTCTTTCTCCATCCCTTTTATTCTCTGAGTGTCTTTTGATATCTATAATGAGTCTGTTACACACAGCACATGTAAGGTCTTGTTTGTTAATCTCTTCAGCCACCATACTTTTTTTGATTGGCACATGTAACCCATTTTCATTTAAGGTGATTATTGATAGACATGTAGTTATGGCCATTTTATTATTCATAATACTTATCTTTTTACCCTTTTACATTTCTTGTAATACTGGTTTGCTGATGATGAACTCTAGCCTTTTCTTGTCTGGGAAGCGCTTTATCTGTCCTGCGCTTTATCTATCCTTTATCTAAATGATAGCTGTGCTGGGCAGAGTCATCTTGGTTTTAGGTCCTTGCTTTTTATCACTTGGAATATTTTGTGCCCATCCTTCTGGCCTGCACATTTCTGTGAAGCCAGCTGGTCTTCAAAATATGGAACGCCTCACAAATTTGCGTGTCATTCCTGCGCAGGGCCCTCACTGATCTTCATATCGTCCCAGTTGCCGTGTGCGCACCACCGAGGCGCGTGCCCTCGGTGACCGATTCAAACAGCGTTTAATCACCTGAGTTGCACACAGGACCTGTCGGCCCCTCACAGTCATGCTGTTAGGAGTTCATTCTTCCCATCAGAGGTCCATTCTTAACTTCTGTGAGAGCAGATTATTTTTATTTACATTGGAATGAAATATCCTGATAGCTTTGAATGTTTTTTTTAGTATCATTACTCTCCTTACTTCATTTTTACATTACATTTACAGTTTCTCTCTGTTCTTCTTCAGTATGTTTTCTGAAACCAAGAGAAAGTCAGAGCAAAAGACTGTGACTTCCTTTCATTATTCAAGCTAAATTACCAGAAATGCCCTTTAAGATAAAATATTTAGTCACTTCCAAACAAGTCAGTGTAGAGGAAGGGGCAGCCTTATTTCACTCGTGTTTCCCTCGCAGGAAGTGGTGCCATCTCGCAGCAGCGCACTGTGCTGGGGCCTCGGCTCCCCGCCCCAAGCAGCCCTTCCCGCAGAACTGCCACCACACTCCACAGAAAAACTGAAAATACCGGTCCCGCGGCGGGGAAATGGGCACCCTTGTCTGCACCACTGGTGGATTCAGTAGACACCTCTGGGTGTCCGTGGAGACCGTGTGCATGCACGGCGATCGGACAGACTGGCCTCAAAGTGAGATTTTTCCTGTTCAAAGCGTGTGTCAGACACACACATACTGTGCGTACCTTTGAGACAAAAATCACACATCCAGTGTCATTCGTCAGATCCTCGTTTATGTCAGTGAAGAAAATGAGGGGATGGCCACCGTTTATATGCATTGATGGGGAGGAGAAATTATGTCCCAGTACAGCTGTGGCCTAGACTCTACAAAATGAACACAGTGTGTGTCGTATATTGAAATGGAAAGCTCCGTGATAGTAAATGAATGTTGAAACTAGTAAATACAATAGGTATGATGCTTTGTAAAAATGTCTGTGTTTATATAGATAGATAGGTATATAAAATAGTCTGAAGGGTTATACACCAAAGTAGTTATAGTAATTATTCCAATGGAGGTGAGAAGTTTTTTTTATTTTCATCTCTACCTATTTATCAAGTTCCAGAGACTTTTTAAAAATTATCAAGTATTACTTACTCAATTTGAAAAGGGAGAATAGAAAGAAACTCTTGTTTTCATTTTGGAGAAAAGAAAAGATTTCTGTATTCTAAAGGATGAAAGCACTAGCACCTGGAAGAAAGGGCAGGCTGTCAGATTTCAGCTCATTCATTAGGCATGAGCTGAAATGAATGGGGTGCACCCTTTAGCACCAGCGTTTAACAGAACTGGCAGAAGAGACAAACGCACAGCCCGAAGTGTGAGTGCTGCATCACTATAGATGCTCAGACCATTTGGGAAGGTTGCCATGGAGGTGATCGACACACCAATTGTTTGGTCGCCTTGAAACTCCTGGTAGGTGAGCTTTTTAACATCGGGTGGAGGATTGAACAAGGGGACCTATAAAAATCTTTCTGATTCTCATTTCTGAATTCAAAGACAATTGTATTTCAAGCTGCTTTCGGAAAAGTAACTAAGACAAACAGGAAGATAAACTTCATGCGAAGGATGGCCTTGTAATGGGGTGGTACCACAACACCCTCAACCGGGAGTTAAAGACCCACCCGGAAGTCCTGGGGTCTGTCTACAACTTCTCCTTGGTGGATAAATGAAAGGAAGAAGGAACCGATCCTGGGTTCACGGTATAATAAGCAGGAGCCAGGTCCCTACCCATCTAGTGGGTGTCACAGAGCAGTAGGTTAGGCCAGTGATTCCTATGAAGCCCTACAGACCCTGCTGGACCCTGAAGTCCACCCTGCTGGACTTCACAGGTGGTCTGTAGTGCTTCTGGGTGTCGATATACACCTTTTGTCTTGGGTCCTGATCCCACAAGTTCAGCCTCAGTAGCTGGAATAGGACCTGGATATCCGTATAGATTTTTTTTAAATCAAGTTATTTTGATGACCAGCCAAGTTTAGACACACAACCGAAATAAAATACACATGCACACACACATAACAAATATACACATATTGGGACAGTTACAAAAAGTAGAGAAAACATAAGGTTGATGGATAAGTACATCAAATTCTTTTAACTATTCCTGTTTTCCAAGCTGCGTCACTGAGAGTCCACCGACATTCACAGCTAAGTTACCTCAGTGCACTGAGCAGAGCTCCTGCAGAGGACTAGTTTGATGTGTTATTAACCCAGAACATAATCACGCTCATACCTATTCTCGGGAGAAGAATGAAATGCAGTTGTATCTTTGCAAGTGGAACAGATTTGGAGCTGGTGGTCGTCCTGACGTGCCTGGCAGGGCGGCTCCGGCCGAAGCTTCTCTGTGCGGCGGGCCAGGCGGCCTGTGTGCGAGGGGCCGACGTGCAGGGTCTGTAGTGCAGCCTCAGTCTCATTGCCATGGATTTGCCCCGAGGCCGAGGGGGACGCGATCGATTCCGTGGAACAGGGAAGGAAGGGCCAGGGTAGGAGAAGCAACAGGAGTGGGGTGGGGCCGCTGTGACTTCCTGGAAGGTCAGAGACGAGGGGCCTTGGAGACATGCTCAGGGGGTCATCCTGGGACAAGCTGCCTCGGCCCCCTGCTCCCCTGGTCACAAGTCTTCTGGGGATTCGGATGCTCAACTGAGAGGGGAGAAAGGTGTGGGCGTGCTCCCTGGAGGGAGAACGTGCCTTAAAGGATGTATAATTGGTTGATTAAAAACTTCATTTTGGAAAACTCACTCGGCATCCACTATGGGAGCTTCTGAGTGCCCCCAGGTAGACGTCAAGCCAGTGGGGCAACGTGATTTTGCACGCAACCACAGGGAATGTCTGTCGTAAAAACAGTGGAAAAGAGAAAGCGCCTTTACCTGTTGAACTCCGTACTAACTTTCAGAACATGTGTGTGTTTTGTCCGTTCTGTCGCAGGTATGAGAAGGTGCCGGTCATCCTGGTCGGGAACAAGGTGGACCTGGAGAGTGAGAGAGAAGTGTCGTCCAACGAAGGCAGAGCCCTGGCCGAGGAGTGGGGCTGCCCCTTCATGGAGACCTCCGCCAAGAGTAAAACAATGGTGGATGAGCTCTTTGCAGAAATCGTGAGGCAGATGAACTACGCCGCGCAGCCTGACAAAGACGACCCGTGCTGTTCTGCGTGTAACATCCAATAGCACTGGGAACAGGCTCCCGCAAGGGATCCGCCCCACGTCGCGGGCGGCACAAACCCGTCTGCTCCACCGTGGAGTCGGCAGGCTGTGCGGCACGAGTCTGCCGTGAAACAGCAGCCCTCACCCCAGGACTCGGCGCTGATCATCCATCGACGTCCCCGAGTAACCTTTGGGCTCCGTAACTACAGTTTTCGCCGTTGTCCTCAGTCTCCTGGACGCAACTGCAACTTCCAGGCACAGCGGATCCATCTGCAGGGCGGTCGCCTGTGAATGGCGTTGTTGCCGAGCTGACCGAAGCAACTCTTGTGTAAATTTAAAAATAACCGTGAGAGAGAGACCAGAAGAATTCCTATGACCACTACAATTAAAATATTTTATCTTCTTTAAAAAAATAAGTAAAGGAGAAATATTTTCCTACGAGAGTACTGACTTTCAGGAGTGGAGATGGCGCTTCTCCCCGCTGTAGTCCATCGAGCACGACAACAGCGGACCTGCCCAATTGTAGATGTTGCCCTGATCCGTGACACTGAACCGACTCCTGCATCCATCCTCGGTAGAGCAGAAGTCAAAACAGGCTGTGTACAAATACAGCCTGGCTTTAGAATGTGTAAAATTACCTGCTTTGCCACACAAAACGGAGGCCCTCGCTAGGGTTCGATCCGAATTCAGACCCCAAGCCCACCCTCTCTGTTAACCAGGCGGGGTGGTCGTTAGTACATCGCTGAACGGGAAGGAAGCGCCCGGGAGGCGGAGCTGGCCCAGCCGCACCGACAAGACGCGTTCTAGTCGTGGGCTCACTAGCGCCACCACGTAAGGAAGACGAAGCCATGTCGCGCCCACAGGTCCCCGTGTGCAGAGACCTCGCAGGACGGTACAAACAAACACCTTGCGTGTTTCCATTTGTTAAAGCAGCAAAATCCTTTCTTGCCTCTAAGGGCTATGGTTGTGGTGTGATGCTTGGTTCACCTGCTTCAGAGTCAGATTTGCTGTAGCAGAGCTTTACTGCAGGCATTTAAAAAGATTGAATAACCATGTGAAATCATTTGGGCTTAAAAGTAGAACATAAATTATAGAGTGGAAGGTAAGGGACAAAAAAAATCTTTTATCTTTAATTTTCCTGGAGAAGTACATAAAGATTTTCTTGTACCAATTTTGCCCTGATTACTGAAGTGGCAAATAAAGCTAGAGAATATTTTGTTTTGAAAAGGTGCTCAAGCTCTGAAATTTCCGGTTTCCATAGCTGCAGGGTATTTGTCATTTGCATGACTGACGGCCCAGGAGGAACCTATGCATAAGTTTTACAATCAAGCATAGAAGGGTTTTTAACTAACTCCAGAGTTCCAAATGCTAAAGAGAATAGTACCTGGAGCCGATTCTCTGGAGATAAACTTGGCCTTCAGAACTGCAATATCCCTGAGCCTGGGGCCTACATGCCGCGCCCACATGCTGTTGGCTTCATACTCTTGTGCAAGTAGCCTCTGGTCTTACGTGTGTAACTGAGAGAATAGTGTGTTTGTGTGTGCATGTGTGTATTGTTCCTAAGAACTTGGCACAAGTCAGAAATAATTGCCTATCCTGAGAATCTGTGTTGCAGAATATAGTGTATCAAAAGCATCTTTTTGTTTTAAATTATTTGTTATACATCATTGAAATCATTGGTAGCCTCTCCTCCCCGGGACCCCAAGTGTTTTGTAAACTGGTGTTACGCTTAAAGGTGGATGGGAACTTCTCATAGATGAGAAAACAGGTGTGTGGGTACAACCAGGCCATGGTGGTCAGAAGTCTTTGAATTGTGAATATTTGCATTCTTCTGTGTAAGTTTTTTTAAGCCCAATTATGAAGCTCCTTGTTTATAGAACAAAAACTTCTAACCAGTTTGACTGAAACAGATTTCGTTGTGTACAAGTTGATTTGACTCAATGTGTAGAGCTATCAAAGGTTCAGAAAGTATGACTTACCTCCTGAAATAGAAAACTTTGTTAGTGAGTTGGTTGAATTTTGAAGCCTCTCACTTCTCAGAATGATTCTGTTTTTTAGAATGCCGTACTTAATAGCAATTTATGACAACTAAGATTACATATTACAAACATCTACTAAACTCTAGTCTCATAATGGATTGCTATGCAGACGAGAAAAATAAGTTTAACAATAGGAAAGGTATGGCAAGATGTGAGGTTGACGAGATCCTCTGAAAATTGGGGTTTTAGTTAGACGCGTTGGTCAGACTGAAGGTGGGCGTTTCCTGCAAAGATGTTCCAACAACAGACTGGGCCGCCTGATCAGTGTTTCCCACACATTTAGCGACAAGACATCCAAGACACCCAGACCCGGGGAAATGCTAGTGTGCTCCTACTGTTGGTATTTCGCCCAGTATGACTAGAACTCAGTGTGAATGAGTGTGTCTGTGGAGATGTTAATAAAAAGCTTAAAAACCGGAAGATTACATTTGTTGGCACATGAAGTAATAGCGGCTACAGAGAAAAGCCAGTGACTTTGTGCCGCTGTTTATTTTATGCCCTGATCAGACTAGCAACTAGATATGTGGAAGTTTTTCTGACATGCCTTAAAAAATTATGGTTTGATCCAAAGACCCGCTTTTTTTTTAGCTATTATGATAAGGTTTTTTGTTTTGTTTTACTTTTATACAAAGGTGGCATTTGTTAGAGTTTGTTTTTTTCTTTTATGTTGCAACTTTTTAGGGTTCTTTTAAGCTGTGATAGCGGTGGGAACTGATGCTTTTCACTTTGTTCAACGTGCACAAAACAAGCCAGCATCTGGTCAAAAGTATTACATATAGTCTTTCTCACACTGTTGAAAGGTGCTTTGATGACTTTCTCCCGGGGTTTGCAGCATCAGGACTGAACTTGACTCTCATCAGGACAGTTGCCATCACCCTTCTGTGGTAAAACTACTGAGACTTGCTTTTCTTTATTAAAAATGTTGCCTTGGTGTCCGTCCACCCTTTTGTTTTCAAGAGCCGTCCAGTGCGAATGTCGCCGGTTCATGTGTGAATGTGAAAGTGCTTGTTTTGTTTGTTTCGATTTTTAGGTTTTCGTTCTGCTCAGTCGTCTTGCATTAGCACTGGGTAAGCTTTACTTGTCTCCTTAGCCAATCAGACGGTAAAGCCCACGGGGTCTTTTTCTTTTTTTAATTAACGTGTCGTTGTGCATCTGTTAAATCTTGATCAGGGTTTTCAGGAATGACTGCAGTGGGTTTTGGAAACAGACTTGTCATTGATTTGGGGTTTCCCAGAGAAAACTATAGTTCACAGTTAATTGTTGAGCTCTAATACAACTGACCGTTTCAAATCGAACAACACTGTATTGTTTTGTAACAATGTCAGTTGTTAAACCTTGACATTTCAATTAAAACATGAATTGTAGTAATAACTCAATGCAAACTCAACAGTTGTATTTGGAGTTAAATTATTTTAACAAATAAATTTATTTAATGAAATTTCCTCTGGATTTTATTTGGTTTTGTGCATGTTCACGATTGAAATGTTTTTAATGTATACAAGAACTAGCAGTTGCCACCAGATGAATTTAACTCTCCATACAGCAGTAGCCAAGCTGAATAGAAATTGAGGCTTCATCCTATAAAAAGGGAGGGTAGCAGAACATTTTCATACCCTTTATAAAGAAAAATGATACAAAGATTTAAAAATCAGTAATCACAAATATAAACTTATAAAGTGTCTTATGTTATTTAATCCTAGCTGGCTAATTTGAAGTCTCAATGCCAATGTTAGCAGCATTTTTCTGGATAACATTAATTAGCATTTGTGGTCCTGGTATCACTAAAACGTATCATTGTTTTTCTAGTGCTGTATGGGAGCTGTCTTTCTGTGCAGTTCTTGTGTAGCATGAGGTGCCAGGAGCCGGGGGGTTGCGGCTCTGTAGGGGCCGTAGGACCTGCCTGTCCCATACGAGGCCTGTGAATGACGGCAGATGCTGTTAATTACATACAGCTTCAGCTGCGCCGATAAGGAGCCCATTCATCCCCTGAGCCAATTTAAACTATGCCTTTTGGTCATGTTGCCTTCGAACTGTGTTGAAATCCCCTGGCAGCATTCCACCAGTTTAGAAGCCCCTTTGTTTTCGAATATAAGAATAATCTGAATGAGCATAACAGAGGCACTGTACACAGAAACTCAACTATTTAAATTAGGGAACTGTGCCTGTGTTTTAGTAGAGCAGCTAAATATCTGCTGGTTAGATTCCCATTGATCAAGTTCTAGTTTCAATGGGGAGAATTTCTTCGTGACTAAAAAACAGTATTTGGGCGTTCTCCCAAGTTTCATGGCTGGCAGAGGTCCACAGATGGACTCACAAATGGTTGAATACAGAGCCCCCAGTTTGGAGCCCATCTGACCTCTGGGACCTGTGAGGCTGAGCAGATTGTTACCAACTCCCAAAAAAGGCTGCTGACCTCTTATTTGCCTCTTAATTTCGATCATCCATGTGTCCATGGAAATACTAAATGAAACATCGTGGCGCTTCGTTTGTTAAATGGCTGATTTGAACTGGTTTTACATTTTTCAATATTAACTAATTTTTTCTTTACTTTTAGTCTCCTTTCTTTTTTCTTTGAAATACAAGGTTTTTTAAATAAAGATTTTATTTATTTTTAGAGAGAGGGGAAGGGAGAAAGAGAGGGAGAGAAACAGCAATGTGTGGTTGCCTCTCACTCGCCCCCTACTGGACACCTTGCCCGTAACCCAGGCTTGTGCCCTGACTGGGAATCAAACCGGCAACCCTTTGCGTCTCAGCCTGGCATTCAATCCACTGAGCCACAACAGCCGAGGCTGAAATGTAAGGTTTTTAAAAGATCTTTTCTTCCAGGTAAGGTAATGTGTTATTTCTTTTGATATTTTCTTAGAAGAGTGCTCCTCATGTTACTAAGGATTTCTCCAAGACTTACTAGTAGAGAAGAAGGTAGATTATCTACTTGAAAGATTAAACACAAAGACCTTTATAATAAGTGCAAGCAAATTAGGGAAAAAGAAACTGAAGAAATGATTTAGGAGAATTTCTAAATCAGATTCTCCCATTTCTAAAGCTCAGAAGTTAAATATTTCATTGTTTTGCATACAATTACAATTACAATGACAATATTAAACTTACATTTTTACCTTTAAAAATTAGATATTAGTGATAACTACAAAGAATAAAAGGAAAAGCCACCCAATTCCCCAGTCAGCCATGTTAACATTTGTAAATTCTTCTAAAACATCTTCCTGTGCAGATACACACAGACAAGTAGAAGGATGAATAACTCCATGTCACTCATGAGAAACTGCCTTTACGTACTAAAAAAAAAGTCACCCAAGGGCACTCAGCTAATCAAGTGCACAGTTAAAGAGCAGACCCAGCCTTCTAACTTCAAATCACTTTTTCCCCACTGTTCATTCTTCGAGTGAAATGTCCACTCATTGCAGGCTCACTCAGCTGTCACTCTGAGAGTTACTCCCACCCCTGGCACGGCACAGCAATACACAAATAGGCACGTCTGCACAACCCCTGAATCAAAAACACCTTCGCCTCTTCTGGCTGCTGTAACAAAATACCGTGGAACCGTGGACTGGATGGATCATAAGACAAACATTCGCTTCTGGCCCTTCTGGAGGCTGAGAAGCCTGTGATTAGGACCCTGGTAACTTCTCATCACCTCACTTGGTGAAAAGGGAAAAGGCAGGGGTCTCTTTAATGACCACACCCATTCCATCTTGAGGGGCTCCTCCCTCCGGACCTTATCAACCTCTTCGTTTCCCAAAAGGCACACCTACCTCATTTGCATCTTGGGGGAAGGGGAAAAGCAAGGAGACAGGGCTAGTGCTATAGACTGAAGTGAATCCTTCCCCTTCCCCTTCCCCTTCCCCTTCCTCTCAAGCAGGCATGAAGGAGTCTACTGGCGAGGAAGAACTGTGTGCATCCTGCTTTTGCACCTTTTCTATTTTGCACGCCAATAACTGGTAACAGGTTGGGCCAAAGTGCTGGGGGCCGCCCACGAAGGCCGCCTCCGGCTCTCTGGCTCAGTTCTCTGCCAAGCCAGTAGGACCGGCCTGAGCCCTTCCTTTCCGGGAATGCGAGGCATCTGTACAATGAGTGGGGGTGGGTGGCAACACCACAGAGCTCCAGGGCACCGCTGCTGTAGGGCAGGTCTACTTCCTAAGGAAGAGTTCGGGCCCTCAACAGGATCTGCAGGGGGCTGGCCCCTGGAGGGTGGCGATGGGGCTCTGAGCTAGTCCGGGGACAGAGCAAAGCTGAGGGGGTCAGAGGGATCTATCTGTCAGACAACACGCTGAAGACTGCATCCTAGGTCCATGCCTGCAGTTCAATAGACATGTTTGGGTTTTAGTGTGATTTTTTGTTTAAAATGTCAGGATTGGAAAGCATTTTCTGAGATGCTCCTACAGAATGAGGGGTGATTCACATCACTTAGAGCAACAGAAATAAATTGCTGTTTAGCAGGGAACTACTAGCACCAAAAAATTGTGTAGTGTTCATGGAAGAAAAATAGAATTTCTGCGAAGAGAATCAGGAAATCTGAGTAAGACAGCAAGTAAGAGAGTGTGAACCAACATGGCTGGGCCGTCGTTTATTTAGCCCTCCATCCTGTCTCCCTGGTAAGCAAGCGAGAAGGCCACAGCCTACGGTCTGGGAGCCCAGCTTCCAGACTGACGTCTGCCCGTGGGATGTTCCCGCATGTGGCCATGATTTATTTCATTGCATGAGTTTTACCCCAAGTGTGTTCTGAAGAAGTCTTACGGCATGAGATGTTTTGCAGGAAACGATTCTGGAGTCAAATAAGTTTGGGAAACTCGGCATAATGCATCTCACATCTTGGAAAAGGTCCTGAGAAATTCCGCTGATGTTTCCAAAACGCCCCAGGGCCCTTTCTTCATACAGCACATAGGAGCGTGCTCTGGAGCAAAAGTTTAGAAATGTTGCTGTTGGATATTTGCCCTCCAAACCCTGCTGAGGGGACTCTGTCCAGATGTGGGGTTGGGGTGCAGGGGTGAGTCATTCATGAACCTGAGAACACCGGTGAGAGAGACATCAAGGGGCCGGGGGAGCACCGGATGGAGCACCCGAGAGTCTTTATCCACTTTCCTCAGGTCCATACTTACCTTGGCCCTCAGAGACTACTTTTTTTGAGAAAGATTAAGAAGAGGAAGAAGGAAAGATAAAACCAAGAAAAACGTCCAATCTAAGATAATGACTGTTTTCTTCTTAAAACCAGTATTGGCCAGTCTATATTTCTGATCCTAGGCCGACTCACAAGAGGGGGTCTTTGCCCAGCAGACAGCAGCCTGAACCTCACTCCCCACACCTAGGACCCACCCCATTGCACTGTGACTCACCGGTGTCCTTGACCTCGGCCCACATTGGGAAAGGGTGAGTTGGGGTGCCAAGAAGAAAACATTGGCTGACATACCGAGGAATCCGTGAGCCTTATCATTGATCCTCCCGACGCCATCCCTGAGGAAGGTGAAAGCTCTTGTGTGCTCCTTCAAAAGGAGTAGGTCCATTTATACAGTCCTAAAGTTACATATGGCCCTTTCAAGGCAACCTCGAGGCTGATGTGGCCCCCAGTGAGAATGAGTTCAATACCCCTGGTCTGGCCCGTCCGTCAGCGGGTTCTGATCAGAGCCTGGGAGGAGGCCACACAGGCCCTGGATGCTCCGGGGCGGGGGGGGGGGGGGGGCACTGCCTCCAGCCTCAGCTCACTGCCTGCTGGAGAAGAGCAGTGAGTGGAGAAACCTTGGCCTCTGCCCTGGAGGAGGCCTCTGCGCAGCCCATGCCTCTGGCCAAGGGGTCTCATCCCCTCACCCTCCAACAGCAGACCTTGCTCTTGAGAGTGAGATAAAGAGAGAAAAGGGGGAAGACAAATCAGGCGGGAGACAGCGTTTCCTCCACCAGAGTCCAACAACCCCTTTCTCACGCGTAGAGTGTAAACGCCTTTTTCCCTTGATTTATTTTATATGTTTGCATCCTCACTGCCTTTTCATTCATTACACACCCTGTATTCATTAT